AATGACTTACAGCGAACGATTTGAACCACGTCTTTTTTGTGTGGCTGGGCGTCTTTTTCTAGTTTGGAGCTAGATCGGGAAAGTATCCCTTGATACAATCCGTGACGCTCTGAGCGACACATTCGTCAAGACCAAACGTGGAAAGAAACAAAATAAAAACATTAATTAGATTAATTTGTAAATTTTTGGTTAATTAAGAATTAAATTAAAAATGTTTTAAAAAAATTAAAACATACCATAATATGTTTTTGCCGTCCTGTCGGATATGATCTAACTCAGGCAGCCCTTCTCTGCCTAGAAGGGCCATAATATCCTCCACCGTGTACACCGCAAATGGTGAGTTTGGCGGCACCTGCAAATCGGGATGAACCCCGGCGACCGGTGGAGGAGGGGGAGGAGGTGGTGGAGGAGGAGGTGGAGTTGGTGGATCAGACCGGGGCGCCGTAGAAACTCCCTTAGTCTCGGGAACAACGTCATGATACGGAATCGAAGAACGGGGAGCTGACAAAGATGATGCGCCTATGTGAGGACCAGGATGACGACCGAAAATATCTCCGTAATGACTCCCCTGAAGAAGATTCTTAGCGGCCGCCCTCTCAAGCTTGCTCTTTCTAGTCATCTAAATTTTTTTCTAAAAAATTAAAACATTAATATACTAATATCTTTTAAAAAAATGGTTAAGAAAACTAAATTAACCTAATCTAAATTCCCTAAACTAATCACCTAATCTAAATTCCCTAATCTAATCACCTAACTAGGAAATAGAGAGAACCTTAAGAGGATTCAGAGAGAAGGTTACTACAAATGGGAGAAATCGAATGGCTCGAGTTTATATATGGAATTTCGTTTCCTCTTAAGGTCCTAGTAATTTTACGAGGAAGTAGCTATGCCCGCGTTTTCCATTTCGAGGACTTTACGAGGAAACAACTATGCCTGCGTTTATGTTTCCTCGTAAAGTCCTAGTAATAATGTTACTAGGACTTTACGAGGAAGCAGCCTTTACGAGGAAACAACTATGCCCGCGTTTTCTGTTACTAGGGTTTTACGAGGAAAGGGTTTGTAAATCCCTAAACTCGAAACCCCAAACCCCAAACCACAACTTCCTTAACTTATAACCTCTTCTACAACCAAACTCCTAACCTCTTCTACACATAAACCACAAATGCAAATTAATTTTGTGGTTAAACAAACTTAAAACATACATAATTCAAATTCATTTTTGTGATTAAACAAACTTATAAACATACATAATTCATTCGGATACATTCTCGTAATCTGTTGAAACATCATCATTTTCGTAAAACTCGTCCTCTACACCTTCGTCCGTCGAGTGATCAGGAACATCTTCGTATTCACGATTATGCGGATCAATGAGTAGGANCATAATTCAAATTCATTTTTGTGATTAAACAAACTTATAAACATACATAATTCATTCGGATACATTCTCGTAATCTGTTGAAACATCATCATTTTCGTAAAACTCGTCCTCTACACCTTCGTCCGTCGAGTGATCAGGAACATCTTCGTATTCACGATTATGCGGATCAATGAGTAGGATGTCATCAATTTCTGCTTCAGGTTCATCGATCTCATTGGTCTTTTCTTCTTGTAATGGTGGTTCTTCTCCAGCGATTATTCGTCCTCAAGGTGTAACTTTGATAACAGCTAACCAGTTTATTCCCGAGGTAGTAATCCGAGGGTATGGAATGAAGCAAACTTGATCTGCTTGGGAAGCTAATATGAAAGGCTCAAACTTGTTGTACCTGTAAAAATAAAGACAACGTAGAAATTAATTAATACTCGAAACCTGGATGTAAGAAAAAAAATAATGTGTTGTACCTTCGTCCACCATTGACATCAACTACACCGTTCTTGTTAATCCGAACACCTCTGTTGACGACGGGGTCGTACCACTCACACTTGAAGATAACACATTTCAAACTCATACCTGAGAATTGAACTTCATAAATCTCCTGCAAGATCCCGTAGAAATCTATTTCGCCTTTCACACATATTCCATAATTGCTTGTCACCCGGTGTCTACCATAGTCATAGGTATGAAAAGTATAGCCTTAGGTGAAATACATCGATGATGCAGTGACCTTTGCAACTGGACCTTGAAGTAATTCGCAAAACCATGCGGGATACTCAGGATCGTCATAATCAACCTACAAAAAAGTAATAGAACTAGACATTAGACTTACTTTGTGGTAATGTATGCATACAATTTAAGGTATAATAAATACCTGTTTCCTCAACCACTTGATAAATTATTGATCTTTTATTTTGTCTAACTCAGTTGTCGATATACCATGTATTGCTTCTTCGACTTGAGTCACAAATTGGCTGTAAAATCAAATTGGCTGTATCTTTTCTTTTGTCTAACTTTTGCCCTTTCTCAACACATCTTGAGAGATTAGAAACATACCCATAAGGGAACTTCACTTCTGAAGCCACCCAGTTGAACAACACAGACTTTTTTTCTGATGACAATCTGAATATAGAAACTGGAACTTGCCCATTGCTTTTTATATGTAGCTCACTCCTTGAGCAGATATCGAGTAAGTCCAACCTCGATTTTACGTTGTCTTTCGTCTTCCCTGGGACATTCAATATAGTGTTCACAATATTCTCAAAAAAGTTCTTCTCTATATGCATCACATCGAGGTTGTGGCGCAAAAGAAGATCTTTCCAATATGGAAATTCCCAAAATATACTCTTTTTGTGCCAATTGTGCTGAAGACCATAAGAATCAGGCATATTATTGGGAACATGCCAATTCCCACCACACGGAGCTGTTTCTAGAGCACTGTAGTAATCGATTTGCGCTTCGATTTGTTCTCCAATTAAATATGGAGGAGGAGTGTCTCTGACGACCCTTTTGTGCCTGAACAATGTCTTGTTTCTTCGGTATGAGTGGTTAACGGGAAGAAATCGACGGTGACAATCAAACCAACTAGTCTTCCTACCATGCTTCAACTGAAACGCATCTGTCATTCCATTACAATATGGACAAGCTAATCTCCCATGTGTAGTCCACCCAGACAACATCCAATATGCAGGAAAGTCACTTATGGTCCACAAAAGCATCGCTCGCATCGTAAAGTTTGTTTTCGTTGAACAATCATATGTCCTCACCCCTGTTGACCACAAATATTTCAACTCTTTTATCAGTGGTTGTAGAAAAACGTCGAGAGATCTTTTTGGATGCTTTGGACCAGGTATTAATATGGTCAAGAATAGAAACTCTCGTCACATGCACATCTCCGGTGGCAGGTTGTACGGTGTAAGAAAGACTGGCCACAATGAATATTGTCTCCCTGACATTCCAAATGGACTAATTCTATCAGTGCATAATCCAAGATACACATTCCGGCTATTGCTAGCGAAAGTAGGTACAAAACACGTTTTAGATTTAAATTAGATATTTTCTATCAAGTTCCTTGCTAATTTGAAGTAAAAGATCACTTCCTCGTAATTTCAGAGTAAAGATTTACTAGGACTTTACGAGGAAAGTATTTACTACGAGCTTACGAGGAAATGGTCTTTTGCCACGGAGTTTCCTCGTAAGTTTACTACGGTCTTACGAGGAAAACGTTTTCTCGTAACTTTAAGGAGACTTTACGAGGAAACTTGTTATCCTCATAAAACCGAAGTAAGCTCGTAGTAAATTTACGAGGAATTATTTTCCTAGTAAATATCCTAGTAAAATATTAGTTTTCTTGTAGTGATATATATATATACATATACATATACATATATATATATATATATATATATATTCTTTTGGATAGCCTTTTAATTCATTTTCACAAAAATAATATCTAAGTAGGAAAATGTCCAAATATTTTTAACTAAAGGGTAAATATGCACTTATATATTAGAGTTAACTAATCTAGACTTATGTTTAGAATTAAAGGGTGATATTTTCGGAGATGAGATTTCAAATTTAAAAAATAAATATTCCAAATTTCAAAGTAAAAAGGACTATTTTGATCATTTTATTTTTGAACACTATTTTGTGATAAAAATTTAAAAGTGATCAATTCATATATACATAATATATGTATATACATAAATATATATTAAAATACATTTCACATCCGGAATTCTTGTTAATTCGTCGTAAAAGAGGCTTTACGACGAAATAACCTTGAAACACAATTCGTTGTTAAGCATCCGTTATAAATCATATTTCTTCGCTAATTCGTCGTAAAGTTGCAAGATATATTTTCTTAGTTACAAGAACGTTTACGATTTCGTCGTAAAAGACATGCTAATTAACGAAGTTGATTTCTTCGTAAAATACACGCATGCCTCGTCGTAAAATATATGTAAGCAATTTTTCATGACTTTGTAGTAAATTCGTCGTTATGCTTTACAAGGAGTTAACATCATTTTGCATAAATGAAAGTAATTAAAATATGTAAAAAATAAATATAAAAGTTAATGAAAATAATTACAATGTCTAGACGGATACCGGTGTGAGGTTTTTGGCTTGATGAGTGAAGCATCAGTAAGTTACCATGCTCATCTTTCGTCATACGGGAAATGGAGGAACAGTTGGCGACTCTAATCTATGATTGTGTAGTCCAATACCGGATGAGGCCATCTGACACAACCTTCGTGAGGCATGTGGGTTTCCCCTGCGCGTAACCCTTCACCACCCAATCATCATTCTAGTTTGAAACTATGTCGGTCAATCGAACCTTCGCCTTCGCTTCAAACGCTTTTTCACCCCTTATGGATCAATGCCATTTTTTCTATATATAAAAGAAAATATTAGATTAATAAATTACAAATAAAATGTATTAAACTAAATTAAATAAAATATAATTAATAGTAAGTTACCGCGAAACATTTGAACCATGTTGTTTTGAACCACGTCATTTGGACGTAGTTCGCCATCTTACTTCAGTTTTGAAATGCGTCGTGGTAGTAGCCTTTGATTGTGTCAGATACACTTCGAGCAGCACAACCGTGGACAACATAGTAACTTTCTCATCAGAATATCTCTTTCTACTGTTATCATTCACTCCCTGAGGCCTCACATTGCTCCATTGTACTGGCAGCTGCGAGCTACCACGCGTAGAAGAGCTCCCTTGTTTGTTATGCTGATTAGAATACCCTTTAAGCCTAGCTCTCAAAGGCTTATCATCCTCAGAATCCTCATCATCACTTTTGGACACAGACCTTTCCCAAACCATTCCTCTCCTTATCAACAACGGATCTATCACCCCCTACTGGAGATTACACTGTAGATGATGATCGTATCGACGGTTTCATCAGTGAACTTCTTCCCGACGAAGCTGATCTATTGGGGCTTGTTAAAGGAAACCTCGATGGTGGTGTTGGGGACTTGGTGGAACCGATAGAAGGGTTCTTCTGAGAGTTAGTTTTAGGCCTTGGACGATGACTAGAGGTAGATGATGATGTATTATTGTTGTTACTGGTTCTCTTGAAAACCAAAGGCATTTCATCTTTATCATCATCTTCGTACCCGTTATGACCATTTGGAACCACAGGTTTCACAAACGCCTCAGTGGCCACAATACCCGAAAATGGCAAGTTATTCACAATCTACTCTGATCAAACAAACAAAAAAAGGAAAGATATTAATTATTCTAAAATTGCAACAAAACTGAATTAATAGTTCGGTCTGAAACAAAAGATAGAAACACATTTTCATATGGTTAGATCAAACAAGAAGGGAACATGCAACGTCTTAATACAATCGAATCAGGCCAGAAATTAACAAGTTTGATACGTCTATGGATTGGATACAAGGAAAGAAACACTCAAAAGGTAAAGCGTCTCTTTACTTATTTCAACTATGCTCGTCTTTGATTCTTGTTCGTGAACCATATGAAATGGAAAAACTCTAATATTTTTAATTTATTTTCTGTCTTTGTGTTTTAACATGCATGGATCAAGATGAATGATCCAGGATTGATCAAGAGGCGTGAAGTGGACACAAAATCTGTCTCTTTGTTAAGGTAAATCCTTTCTCATTGATATTTGTAATTGGATAAACTTTCCTAGTTAGAAATGTGAATGAGATTTATGTTGCAAATGTTGATGATTTTAATTTTAGTTTCAATGATTTTAGAACTGGATAAAACCTATGTCTTTGCTGGATAATTGCTGGATAATTCTAGTAAGAAATGAATTTAGAACTGGATGAATCAATGTTTATTTGTTCAATGATGTTTTGAATGGACGGTAATCAGTTTAGTCAAGTTGTTAACAAGTTAACTTTAGTTTGAAATAAAACTGAATTGTTGTTTTGTGTTAGGTTAGGTAATAAATGGAGTGGTTATTGTGAGATAATGGTTAGCTTAGGTAATAAATATGATATTGTTGTGTGATGAATGGTCGTAGTTATATGTCAACTCGTTTATTGTTGGGTGTGTGTGATCAATGCTTGAGCCTTCTCTTCTTTTCTTTATCTCTTCCTTCTCACCTTTCTTCTTTTCTTTATCAACGTCCTTGTTGAAAACGAGTTCTTCACTTCTTTCTTTCTCAGATTTATTATTTTATGTCTCTCATCCTTGAGCTTGCTTCGGATATGGATTCCATTCCATCTACCCACAGCTCTAAGTTTGTTGAGCTACTTAATAGTGAACAAAGTATCTCCTTTGGTAACTATGAAGATTGTCACGAATTCTCTTCATCACAATCTTTCTTTCTTCACACTCAAGGAACCAAAGATGGTGGAGAGAATGCTTCAGATCGTAGAGAGCGCAGGAAGTGGACGCCGCCGGATGACATCTTGCTCATCCGCTCGGGGTTAAACACGAGCAAGGATCCTGTGGTTGGTAACAAACAAAAATCTAGAAATTTTTGGAAAAGAATTGCCGCATACTTTGTGGCAAGTCCTCTATTTTATGTCTGAGAAGAGAGAGAGGCAATCCATTGCAAGCAGCGTTGGCACATGATCAATGACCTTGTATGCAAGTTCTGTGGCGCGTATGAAGCTGCTAACAGAGAGAAAGCTAGCGGCCAGAAAGAGAATGATGTTGTGAAACTTGCTCATACAATATTCTACAACAACTACAAGAAGAATTTACTTTGGAACACTCTTGGAATGAACTACGCAACGACCAGAAGTGATGCGCCCTTATGACAATCGTCTGAGATAAGCACAAAACCGCGAAAAAATGAAACCGCTGTAAAACGCGAGCTAGTCCCATCACGACTAGCTCGCCGAACGGCGAGCTGAGCCAGCTGGCTTACTTCGCCGTTCGGTGAGCTAAAAGCTCTGCGGGTAGCTCGCCTGACGTCGAGCTGACCATCCCGAGCCTAGATCTCCCACGTCCCCGATTCAAGGCCTACGTCCTTCGACACGATCATGTTCCGAACCACAGTCGAAATGTCTCCTGTTTCGTCTCGATCCGTCCTATCGTCCGAGTTTTACGATGAAAACCGTAAAAATTTGTTTTCTCGAAAAGAACTCGAGGAAATCGTATAAAACGGCAACGGTTAAACGAAACACCGAACATTGCCTAAACTATATGATTTATTTGAGAATTTTTCATAAAAAATCGTAAAAACGCGTTTTTAATAAAAAACGTCAAGTGAATCGTAAAAACGGCAACAATTAACTGAAAAACGAACATAGCAAAACTTTACGATTAAGCTGGGGAATTTACTAAAAAAGGGATCGGATCAGGAAACGATCTCGTACAAAGTCATAAAACGGATTTACCGCAAAACGGCTCGTAAGGTCCTAAAAACGTGATAAAAGCCCATCTCGCGACTTTAACGAAATCTAACCCAAAGATACGATAACGTTTTCACAATTCACCCGCAGAAGGATAAAAGTCAAGTTTGAAGGTGAATGGCAAGTTTTAAGAGAAATAGAAGATTTCCGCGGGAAAAAATGGAAGATCAAGATAAATGGAAGATTCCCGATAAACTCGAATCTGAGCAAAATGGAAAGATTAAACCGTCTAGGAAGGTAGTATATAAGCAAGAGGCATAGGGCAGAAAGAGGATTCGAAAATCAGCCCTAGAGAGGCGGCTGTTAGCTTAGGAAATTAGGACTTAGGCGTTTAGACTAGCAACCCGGATCCTTAGAACGTTTCAACGTCTGAGCTCCGCAATTCTCTTTGTAACAGTTATCGATCTTTTATTGAATAAAAGCTCTCACGCAAATTCTTTATCTATTCTCTGTTCTTCATTATTGTTATTCATCCATATTCTGTTAACTCTGTTCGTTTTAGTGATTTCCGAAGAGATCCAGGTCCTCGGGAAAATTAGGGTTTTCTCTAAGTTTCCATATTTGACAGAAAATCGACACTGTGAATTTCGGTTCTCACAGTTTGGCGCTAGAAGGAGGGGGGGGGGATCGGATCCTCTTACACAATAATCGCTAGAACGAACGAGAAAAGATATGCCTAACCTAAACAGCGACGTTATCTCGTTCGAGAAAAGAGCAACGATCGATTCGGTCAAACCTCTCTACGATCTTCTCGTTATCGAGCTGACGATCCAGAATATGGATGTCGCAAGGATATTAGTCGATACCGGAAGCTCGGCTGATATCATCTTCAAAAATACTCTCGAGAGAATGGAAATTGAACTGTCTGAAATCGCGGAAAACACAAGCCCGCTAGTAGGACTCTCGGGAGAAGTCAGAATGACCCTTGGAACGATCAACCTTACAGTTCGCACCGTGAGCATAGTGAAAAATGTCGAATTCCAATTCGTCGATCGACCCATATCTTACAACGCAATCGTAGGGACACCGTGATTAAATTCGATGCAAGCGATTCCCTCGACGTACCACATGTGTCTTAAGTTTCCGACTCCATGCGGAATCGAGACCATATGGGGAAATCGGAGGACCTCGCAAGTTTGCTATGCCACAGATTTAAAACGAAAAAATCTGCCGGTCGACGTTTCTTCCAAAAAGAAAAAGAAGTCAACGGCCCTCGACAACGTCCCAGAGCAAGATAAAATGGAACTCTTCTGGCAGTTGCGAGCAGCCGAGGCATTGGAAGGTAAACGCGAGCCAACCTGCGAACCTGTCGTCTCAGTGTGCATCGACGAGGATTTTCCAGAGCGCTGCGTCGAAATCAGTGCAAACCTGAGCAAGACCTTAAAAGCCGAACTCCTGGCATGTCTGAAACAAAAACCAAACACGTTCGCTTGGACTGCGGAAGATATGCCAGGAATCGACATTAACATCACATGTCATGAACTTAACGTTGACCCAACATCCAAACCCGTCTAACAAAAAAGACGAAAACTGGGCCAGAACGCGCCGAAGCAGTCAACAGCAAAGTTGACAGACTCCTCAAAGTATGATCGATCACAGAAGTTCGGTATCCTGACTGGCTCGCCAATCCCGCCGTCATAAAGAAAAAGAACGGAAAGTGGCGAGTTTGCGTCGATTTCACCGATCTCAATAAAGCGTGCCCAAAAGAGAGCTATCCACTGCCACACATCGATCGCTTAGTCGAGGCAACTGCGGGAAACAAACTCTTATCTTTCATGGACGCCTTCTCGGGATACAATCAGGTCATGATGAACCCTGACGATCGGGAGAAAAATAGCTTGGAAAAACAATGGAAGTGTACATCGACGATATGCTTGTTAAATCACTCGAAGAGAGTGATCATGTCGTGCACTTCCAAGAATGTTTCGAGAGGCTCAACCTTCATAACATGAAGTTGAACCATGCGAAGTGTCGGTTCGCCGTCGCATCCGGAGAATTTTTAGGGTACCTCGTCACTTACCGAGGAATTGAGGCCAACCCGAAACAAATCATGGCGCTGATAGAGACGGTTTCTCCCAGAACGAAATGCGAGGTACAAAGACTGACCGGCAGGGTCGCGGCACTTAACCGCTTTATCTCGCGATCAACGGAAAAATGTTTACACAAAACGTTAAAGGGAAACAAAAAATGTGAATGGTCTGAAGAATGTGAGAAAGCTTTCCAACATCTGAAACATTACCTAGCCACCCCGCCAGTACTCGCGAAACCCGTAGAAGGAGAACCATTATTCCTCTACATCGCAGTGTCAACGACCGCCGTGAGTGGCGTCCTCATCCGAGAAGAATGCGGTGAACAAAAGCCTATCTTCTACATAAGTAAGACACTATTGGACGCGGAGACGCGATATCCGGTGATTGAGAAATTGACCTTGCCAGTGGTCATGTCAGCAAGAAAACTGAGTCCGTATTTTCAATCTCACACCATTATCGTGCCCACTTTGTTCCCTCTCCGTACCATTTTGCATAGTTCCAGCCAATCGGGAAGATTAGCAAAATGGGCGATCGAGCTGAGCGACTACGATATTGAATATCGCGCAAAACTAAACCTGGATCCTATACGTTGACGGATCCTCATCCAAACAAGGCTCTGGGATCGGCATCCGACTCGCATCCCCAATGGGAGAAGTGTTGGAACAGTCATTCCGATTAATTTTTCACGCTTTGAACAATGAAGCCGAGTATGAGGCCTTGAT